ATCCAGCTCTACACCTTGTTATATCAGTAGAAATTAGTGAGTCTTTCAGGCTGGAAGGATGTTATGAGCGATGTCCAGTAGGGGTCAGTGCTGGACCCTCAACTCTTTACAATTTATGTAAATACTTTGGATGAAGGGATCGAAGGTGTGGCACCTAAATTTGCTAATGACACAAAGATAATAGGAAATTGAGTTGAGAAGAGGATACAAGGAGCCTACAAAGGGATTATAGACAGATAAGTGGGTGGTCAAAGATTTGGCAAATGGAGTACAATGTGAAAAAGTCTGAAATGGTCCATTTTTGCAGAAAGGATAAAAAATAATCTAAATAATCTAAACGGTGAGAGGTTGAAGAGCTCTGAAATGCAGAGAGATCTCAGTGTTCTAGTGCATGAATCACAGAAAGTAAGTCTTCAGGTACAACAAGTAATCAGGAAACTAACAGAATGTTATGCTTTATTCAAGATGAGGATGAGGGAGGTTATACTTCAGTTATAGAGGCCATTGGTGAGCCTACAGCTGGCATACTGTTTTCAGTACTGGTCACTGTACTTAGAGAAGGTTGATAAAGCATTGGAAGCAGTTGAGAGAACATTCACTAGACTAATACCTGGAATGATACAGGCTAGGCCTGTATCTTCTGGAGTTTAGAAGACTCAGAGGTGACTAAATTGAAACAGATAAAATCCTAAGGGGACTTGACCAGATGGATGTTGAAAGCATGTTTTCCCCTTGTGGAGAATCTAGAACAAGAGGTCATAGATTAAAAATAAGGGGGCACCCATTTAAAACAGAGATGAGGAAATATGTTTTTGTTGAGGGTTTTGAGTTTTTGGAATCCACCTCATCAAAAAGGCAGTAGATGTAGAATCTTTAAACATGCTTGTAGCAGAGGAAGATAACTTCTTGATTGCTAAGGGGATGAATGATTATCAGAGATATGCCGGAATGTAGAGGTGAGGTTAAAATCAGATCAGCCATGATCTTATCGAATAGCAGAGCTGGCTTGATGGGCCAACTGGCCTATTCTTGTTTGTAGTTGTGGTGGGGTTGGAAGTTGCTATCGAAGGAACTTTGGTGAATTTCTGCATTGCATTTTATAGATAGTACACGCTGCTGCTACTGAGCATCAGCAGTGGAGGGATGAATGCTTGAAGGTAGTGGATGTGTTGCCAGTCAAGTGAATTGGTTTATTCTGGACAGTGTCAAGCTTCTTGAGTGTTGTTGGATCTGCAGCTATCCAGACAAATGGAGAGTATTCCACCACAGATCTGACTTGTGCCTTGTAGATAGTTGACAGGTTTTGGGGAGGTAGGATGTGGTTTATTTACTGCAGGATTCTGAGCTTCCACTCTACTCTCATAGCCTTACTATTTATATGGCTTGTCTAGTTCAGTTTCTGTTCAATGGTAACTCCCAGAATGTTGACAGTTGGGAGTTCAGCGATGGAAATGCCGTTGACCCTCAAAAGGTGTTGATCAGATTCTTTCTTATTGGAGGTGATCATTCCCTGTCACTTGTATTGTTTAACATTGTACATGTTTTTTTTCTTTGGTGTAAGAAATCTTTATTTATTTTAAATGTTCATTGACAGAGTCTTGTGAATATGTTTGCTGACTGAGCTCAGTCAAGCAAACAAAAATAAAACTTGTGATCTATCAAGTAAGTTCTCACTCTGGCTTGTCCAATCTACTTGTTCAATATTGCCAACAGCTGGGATAATGATAACAGCACTCTTGAAAGATTACAGTAGATCCCTAACTCCAGGACAGGGGGAGGAAAATTGCATTCAACTACCATTCTGGAGCAATAGTCACTGGCTATTAGTAAAAGTACTTTGGCATCAGGCTTGACAGAATTAAGCTTGGATATGATGCTTAGTAGTTTGTATTGAAGGAATAACTATGGAAAGGCTCAACTCATGGAAACACCATTTGTAGACTCTTTCCTGCCTGAGAAGTGGCAGCAAAGTTAATGGGAGGGGTAGAAAATTGGGTGGGTTGGTGTTGGGGAGATACCTGCTACCACAGGGCTAGAAGGCTGAAGGTTCACCTTTATTACATACAACTAATTGAAAGCCTCAGGTAATCAGTTAACGACCACTTAAGGGTCTCTTCATACCTGTGCCATGACTAACACTATTTCATGAAGACAAGAACAGCAGCAGCCTTTCACAGTACTAATTACTTACTCATTTATGATGTTGAGGGGTATCCCGCATCTTATGGTGCTCCAACCCCCCAACACATTTAGTTTTTTTTAAAAAAGTGAAAATCCCAGTCTAGATTTTGAAATACTGCAGCCAAGAATAAGGCACCACAATCACAAGTGGATAGGCCAGTGAAGAAAGCTGGAAATTATATTGAAAAATGGGGAAATAATTGTGTTAATTTGAGAAGTTCACTTCAGCGTTTCCTGTTGAAGTAGATGCAAGATGATTACTTTTCTGTTGGTGGCACTGCCGAGTTACTCTACGTAAGTCTTACTCAATCTCAAATAGCAATTTTTTGAACTGTACTGCAGGAGTCACAAACAAGCAGTCAGCTGATTCTACTTCAGGAAAAGATTTTTTTTCAAAAAAATTTGCATTAAACTTAATGCTCCTCTTCAGGGATGACTGTTTCCCATACTGTATACTTAAGTAAAACGTGTTTCAGAGGATTAAGGAAATTGAAGAACTATGAAGCCCAATAAGCTTACTGCTCAATATTTAAAGATACTGTTTCTCTATCTTAAGTAAAAGTGGTGTGGTCACATTTTAAATTGAGCTCATTAAAATGGATTATATTTTTTCAACAAAATGGCTGCAACCTGACAGGTCTGCAACACATCAATCAGAATTTTTTTTAGAAAAGTTCCTTTTAAGTTATGCTGAAGTTAATATTGTACAGTTGTTTACCAATTCAGCAATGATTTTTTAAAAAACAATGAACATAATTTTCTTAAACAGATAATTCTAGATAATGACAACTGTAGCAGTAAATCCCAGCAATATGACCAAATAAAATCCAGATAAGCAAAAGAACTTCACAACATTTTCATCGAACCAAGAATGTTGAAGCTGAATTTAATTCCACTGATCAAATTGGTGGTAATACAAAAAATTGAGAGTGTAGGTGCCACCACAAATGTTCTCCAGTTCTAGAATATTCTAACATATATGTAATGCTGTAACATAGTGTGCATTTTTCAGAAGGTTGGCATTTGATTTCTTAGTAACAAAGAACTACTTCAAAGATTGTTCGAAATGTCAAGTGGCATTTTAACAAAGGGCGAAAGCAAAATGTCAGTAAATACTCAAAAGCTGTTCAGTGACAGAAGAATATATGTAGAATTATTCTGAATTTTCAGACTTGCAGGGAAACAAGCAACTGCTGTCAGAAGTTGCATAATTAGAAAGGCAAATGTTTAATATTCATAAAGACAGATTATTAAATTTTTTGACTCAACAGTACATTTGTGTTTTGATTTGTCTTAAAATGATTTCACTTGGAGTGGGATTGCACTTCCATACTTCTATTGTTACAGAATCCTGTTCACATGGCTTTGTCTGTGGAATGTCATTGTAAGTTGACATTTTTTGGATCATCAAATAAACTAGATGAATTATGGTATGTTTGTATAGTCCAACAAATTTCTACTACATCTTATTTGTTACCAGGTAAAGCAAACAACATCATTATAGCATCAGATCAAGAATTCTGTTCCAGACTGGACCTTTGGTAAATAGGCACAAAGAAATCTCACAGCCTTGGAATTTCAGAGTGACGATCAGTGGGGCTGTCTGCGAAAGACTAGCTTGAAACATGAGAATCGGTTCAAGATCTTAGGGACAGGTCCATTGGTATTACAGGAGCAGGCAATTCAGCTAACTTGCACTTTTTCTAGAGTCCATGCCCAATAGAAATTGAGGTCCAGTGAGGTCAATGTTATGACTTGAACTCAAGCTGATTTAGAAGCACAATTTCCAACCCCAATCACTGCAAGATTCCCACTTTCTCTTGGAGCAATTGTCCAGCTGGGCACAGGTCTGCTTTCATCGTTAGCCAAGAATTAGAGCAGGTTTTAATCCCTCTACATTTCTTGGCTGACTGTTCAGGTAAAAGGAGTTGGAACCTCTTGACCCTAACTCAGAATTGCAGACTTCCTTCGGGATGCATCCTGGGCAAGTCTTGCAGAGCCAGCCATGTTGGGACTTCAACATGATTCTGATGCCCAACTCCAGTCCACACTGCTGCAAATGACTATCTTCCCTGGGCCACTATACTTGTGGCTTTGTTGGCTTTTGCGTTCTGGCTCACCTGTTGCCTTTTTGTAGCTCTCCCCCAACCCAAAGACATTTACTAATTGATTTACAGACAGTTAGCACATGGATGCCTCTTGATTTCATCCAAATGGTTTGGTCTGGCATTGTTCATTTTATGACTGATAGTCCCTAAAGTATGCAGTTTCTTCCAAGGTCCAGATCAAATGATAAGGCCAGCAGGAAGCAATGGGCACATACCCTACAATTTTCAATTCATTTGTTGTAATTAAGTAAAATCCCAACTGTACTTTAACCTCTCCAACAGAGTTTCTGTGTTAGAAAAGTGTAACTGCAGGAATGTCTCTGCTGTTGGCAGTATTTCAGCAAATTTGATATATTTGTGGAGAGGTCTAAAGCTCAGATTATTTATTCTTCCAGTTAAAAGACAGAAGCATTCTCCTCCTTATCATAAACAAAAGAGAGATCATAACCCTCTGTATGAACACTAAACTCCCATTTTAGAATTATCAAGAAAAAAAAAGTGTTCCTTTGCCAGCAATACTTCACAGAATGTACAACAAAGAATCATAGTGGAATGTGTTCTGAGAATTTCATGAGGAATCCTATATCCTATGCAACTAAAATTAATTCCATCACTAAATTTACAGCAGCAGTTACAATACCTGCACACAAGTTCTAGGAATTTACAGCAAAGAAAGCCTGTACTTACAAAAAGGAAAATATTTTAGCAACATATTGTAATAAATCTTTATTTGATAATACCGTATTTTTCCATGAATCCAATCCACATGGAACTTACTACATGAATTATACAGAATAACAAACACATGCAGCAAATGTTTCTCATCATCCTTTTTATGTGTACAGATCAAACAAATTGCAAGTCTCTGACTTTTTTTTCAAACAATCATTGCAAAACATCAAAGCCTTAAATTATGGAAGTCCATTCTGAACACTTATTACTTAAAAAGCATAGCTTTAAAGGAATTATAAGTTAAACATTCTATTAATAAAACCTTTAAAAAAGAATTACAGAAGAAATAGATCAAATCTTATCATCTGGGCAATAAGTACAAAGATACTTCAAGAATGTAGAAAAATAACTTTTGGTATGCGACATTCTATCCATAGTGTTAATAAAGCTCATTTTTTATACTGATAATTGTAAAAGAATGTTAATTATGAAAGAAATATTCACGAAGTATTTACAAGGCAGCTGTACTAGTGGTGAACTATGAATATTTCAATGTTTTTAAAATTGGATCCAATTTTTTTTTGAAAACTCTGAACTATCTGCCTGCAAATAATATCTCACAAAGAACACGGCAATAAAATCAAATATGTGATTGGTACTCCTCTATACTGAATTACCCACTCATGTGAACACACAGTGGGCTGGATTTAATGGAGCCCATCATGGCAGGAGCATGGTGACTAGGCCCACTTAATAACCAGAGAGGCCTTACATTTGGCTCCAAACAGTGGGAAAATCTCCTGCGAATTTGGAGTTGGAGGTGGGAATGGGCCATAGAGGGGGGAGAAAAACTTGCCGGCTGGTTTAGTCTGATTACTGTACCAACACACACCAATTATCCATGAACCCACTAGAATTTAATGATGGCTCAGGGATGGCCCACAAGTGACATGGCTTTCCCATGCATGTAGGGTGTCAGCAGGCAAACCTGGTCTTCTGGGAGCTGCAAGGTGGTTCCTCCCTCTTTCAAAAAAGGTACTTGGTTCCTTATCAAATGACCCATTATTGGGCAGGGTTTGGTCACAGAAAGTGGTCTCAAAACACCCTACACCATTCACCTTATGATTCCCATCCCACCCTTCACTTGTCTGTGGCCTGCATACTTCAGTGCTCCTAGGCCTCACTTTGGATGCATTACTAGCAGCAGTCACCTTCCACTCTTGCACCGCCTTTGAAGAAGAGCGACTGATCTTTGAGCTCTTGATGATGAGGTTTCCAGCCTGGTGTACTGAACATCAGTGAGGGCCTGCGGCCAACCCCTTCATCAGGTGGAGCTCCCTCTCAGTTGCAACATGGGGGTTTCTCACTGGTTCTCGAATTGACGGGGTGGTCCGATATCAATTGCATTTAATCCCATCCAGTGAATGAGATTAACCATATCATTCTGAGGACAGCTATTGTGATGCAGTGGTAGTATCCCTACCTCTGAGCCGAAGGCCAGGGTTCAAGTACCACCTGTTCCACATGGGTCATAACCTTCCTGAACTGGTCGATTAAAAATAATTGATAATTCTGAGGACTGACAAAATCCTACAGTTCAAAAGGGAATACTCAACTGCAAAACAAAGGTATTTTGTCCAGTTTCTGATCTTTTACAAAATACCAATTTATTTTGTGGAAACCAAAAATCCTGTAAGCTCAACAGGCCAGGCAGCATCTGTGTATCAAGGAAGATAGGCCTCATCCTATCTTCATCAGGTCTGCACATGTGTAAGAAAGGTTGTTAAACTGGTATCTTCCTCCTTCTCTTCACAGATGCTGCTGCTGAGTGTGTTGTGTGTTTCTAACATTTTGTATTTTCATTTCAGATTTCCAGCATCTGCAAAATTGCTCCTTGCTATCCAACTTTAAAAAGCTATATAGTAAAACCCTAAAACTCTGATGCTACCTTGCCTTGGAGATTTAAAAATTACACAAAGAAGGCTCAATAACTAACTCTAATCACACTAATTAAAATCTATTTAGATATGATTATTGGCAACTCCACCAAAATACATTAATGGTTTATCACCAGCATTTACTGAAATGCCATTAACACTGTAATTGTTTTTAATAGAGCACTGGGCTAACCAAAAAATAACTTGGATTTTGTCGGTAAAGTGAAAGAATATATTTCGATAACTAATAAAAAACAAAGACTATTATTCAAAAACTAACCTAGTGCATCAAGCAATTTATTGCATTACGATGGATCATTTAAGTGAAAGAAATCAAAGGACTACAAATAGCAGATTTAGATCCTTGAACCTCTCTCTTCTGGCATTAAGTATAATGGATAACCTGTGCCTCAAAACTATTCATCTGCAGTTTCCCCATGCCCTCCATCCTCCATTTCCATTGCTAACAAAAAATTATTAATCTCCATCTCAGAATCTTCAAGTTACCCCAATTCACAGACATTTGGGGAAAGTGTTTCAGATTTTCATAACCTATGTAAAGAAGTACTTTGAATATTTACTCTTGAATAAAAATAATAATGGGTCAGGTCTTCCAGTCAGCAGTGACACTGGAGCAATTGTTGCTGACTGCAAGGGTCATTTTATCCCCTACCTTTTGGATCTTTGCATCTGTGTCTTTCTGTCTAGTAGCAATCTCTCACCATAGCCATCCGCAAAGAACGACGACGATGAGGAGCACTCCATTTTTCTGCACACCAACTGTTGCGTTGAGGTAAGTTTTAAGGTCTCAAGTCTCTTAATCATGAGATCACTGAGTAACTGATTGGGTGTTTGGTTAATCAGGTGTGATGGAGCAGCTGGTGGTAGAGTCGGCTCTGCTTTTACTAATTAACTTATGCCAGAATTCAATAACAGCAGAATATTAGTCTGTGTGTCTGGGTGAGCTCACACAAAACGGCAGTGTAATATGCATGTGGATCAGGACTTTCAAAAGGTCTTGATATGCAACAGTGGCAAGTATCTCAATGTCCATGATGCTGACATCAGAAGATCTGGCCCAATATTTTAAGACAAGAAGAAGAAAGAGTCTCATTTTACCTAATCTTTTCAATGCTTCTATCATTTTAAATAAGTGGTTGAGTAATTTCTGAACTTTACAGATTACAGATTTGCTTTTAACTGAATTACAATATGCAAAAAAAAGAAGCAACAAATTATAAACTGCCTATCTTTTAACAATTCCAAGGGCAACATTTCTTTCATCTATTTATCAATTATACTACCAGACAAAGTAACTCTGCAGGATGGCAACGTTTAACCAAAGTTTGATTCGAAAACATTATGTAATAATGAGAAAGAAAAGAACAACTAATCACTAGAGTGGATTAGACATCTACTCTAATAGATTCAAGGTTTTCTTAAAATGTTTTCATGGTATGTAGGTGTCACTGATTAGGCCAGCATTAATTGTCCTGGAGAAGGCCTGGTGAGCTGCCTTCTTGAACTGCTGCAATCCATATGTAGTTCACATACACTGACAGAGCTGTGAGGAAGAGACTTCTAGGATTTTGGCTGAACAATAGTAGGGATTTTTTTTTTATAAAAAGTGTGTGCTGTGGAAGGAATCTCGTTGCATTGCTGCAGTGCAGCTTGCAGATTGTACACAGAGCTGCCACTCTATGATGGTGGTGAAGGGAGAAAATGTTAAAGTGATGGTTATGGTGCCAATCCAGTGGGCTGCTCTGTCTGATGGTGTCAAGCTTCCTGAGCACTACTGGAGCTGCACTCATCCAGTTAAGTTGAGAGTAGTCCATGACACTCCTAATTTTTGCCATTTAATAGTGAACAGGGTTTGGGGAATCAGGAAGGAAGTTATTCAGAATCCAAGCTTTGGATTTGTTTTTGTTGGCACAGTATTTATGTGGCTGGACCAGTTCAGTTTCTGGTCAATGGTAACCTCCAGGATGTTGATAGCAGTGAAATTCAATTATGGTAGTGTCATTGAATGTCAAGGGGTGATGGTTGGAGCTCTCTTGTTGGAGACGTTTATTGCTTGGCACTTGAATCGTGTGAATGATACTTGCCACTTATCAGCCCAAGAATGTATGCTGTCAAAGTCTTGCTGCGTATGGACATGGACAGTTTCAGTATCTGAGGAGTTGTAGATGGTGCTGAGCACTGTGAAGTCATCAGCAACCATTCCTACGTCCAACTTTATGATGGAGGGCAAACTGAATTGTTGGGATGAATGTCTGCTTTCTCTATTGAGGGTAAGGATTCTTGTTATAATGTTATAATTGCGCTGTTATAATGCTGTTCTCAGCTGTTATGGGTCTTAAAAATAAAGCTGTTTTCATGTCAGCTAATTGTAAATCTTGCTTGGAGAGAGATATTAAAAAAAAAATGACATCACACTGGTGTAACAAACATGGCTCTGGAATACCCACCTTAAGCCTAAGCCTTTCTGCTTCTCTCGAACTATCTCCATTCATTACAACAATCCTTAAAACCAAGTTTTGGTCACCTGTCTCCTGTGAGAATCATGTTAAGTTGTCTAATAACATTCCACACAAGTGTTGTGGGTTGTTTTATATGTTACACATGCAATGTTAATTATTGTTGTGGGCTGGGAAAAGGAAGAGAAAGGTTTAATCTGTATCTGGCAGCATTATCTGCACAAAGTGCTGGAAACAAATGTTGGGTGCCTAGAAATGACAAGAGTTCCATTCCCAATATAAACATCTCTTGATGAACACAAAAAAGTTTAAGAATCAAAAGCTATAGATGATCACAATACTCATTACAGTTAAGGCCTTAATGATAATCAATATCATGGCTCATAGTGGGTTAATATTTTACTGTTGTTTGTTACAATGACAACCATTATGGAAGGAGGAAGAGTTATATCATTGCAAAAGGAATAAATATTCAAACTCTTTCAGCATTGATTACCTTTCAGCTTGCGACATATATTTCATGCAAAGTCTAAAATTGCAATATTACGTTATCATGGCAGACTTATTAAATTAGATCAAGAATAGAGTCTGCAATTCTCAAAAACAACAGCACTTCCTAAATAAAATAGGGAAGAATGTTATTTCTGGACATGAATGCAAATGCACTACTCTAGGCCTTCAAGGGTTAAAAATACTTACAAATAAGTGGAGGAGTCAATCCTCATATTTAACACAGACTATACCAAATAATTTCAATGCTGCAGCTTTCTAAAACAAACCAAAGTGCATTTCAAATTCTAGTCAGAGAAATGCACACTGTACAGCTGATGCCAAAATGCAAGAGAAGTATATGCCATGTTACATACAGGTAACACCAAACAGTAAGCAAACAGACCTGCTATATTGGACAGAAGAAATTTGGGTTACATTTTTCATATTATAGACAACACTTATACGTAAATTTTCGGATGAGTAGAGAGTTTGATGGAATAAAATTATGGATCCTCTACATCCAGAAACTCTTTCTTGGGCTGATTTACACCTCGGTACCATGCACAGGAGTCATCGCTCCTCTTAACGCAAGAATAGTGCTTGGACTGACGTCCATTAATGCTTTTCCCGGTCACCCAGTCTGTCCACAGGCACTCACTTCGAGAGGTAATGTAGCAAGGAATCGATGGACACCTGACAATCTAATGAGGAAAAGAACAAACAGATGTGTGTGAAATGTTAGTAACTTTCCAACAATGACCCATTCATCCATGTATTTGATTGCAATGCATATAAATTGTTCATACAGCTAACCAGCAGAAGTACTGAATTTAAGAAATTGGAATAGGTCATATGACTACCATTTGCGAAGATTATAATTGATCTTCCATCTGAATTTCACTTCCCTGCCAGCCATATTCATTCTTCTCGCCATTAAAATTCATCCTACAGTGTTCACTCACTTCATTCTTGTCCCTTCTGATGAAAGGTTATTGATCTGAAATGTCAACTGTTTCTCTCTCCACAGTTACTTAGCCTCACTGAGAATTTGCAGCATCTTCTGATTTTAAATGTTCTTGTCGCTGTTGCCTTGATATTAAAATGTGGTGGAGGTAATGAGAAGGCTGAACTGCTTGGGTTATGATAGACAGGTTACCTTTTGGACATGCTTTCCTCCCCACCAGTTCACAACTACCAGCTCTCCTAGCAGAAGTCCCACACTCAACAGGGGCCATTAGGCTCTTGGTGCACCCATGTTGAAATTATGACTATGTGACTGTGTGTGGTCCTTCAGAGATAACTTCATATTGGTGCTGGTAGTGAGGCTGCAGGATTAGAGATCTTCAAGGCCTTAAATATTTGCACAAGTCAGAAATAGCAAATCTAACTGGATGTTGTGGATAACTATTAAGAAGGCCTGGATATTATTGCTGGACTGTTAATCCAGAAACCCAGGTAGTATTCTGGGATAGAGATAGTAGGAACTGCAGATGCTGCAGAATCTGAGATAACAAGATGTAGAGCTGCATGAACACTGCAGGCCAAGCAGCAAAGCTGACGTTTCAGTCCTAGACCCTTCTTCAGAAAAATGTTTTTCTGAAGAAGGATCCAGGCCCGAAACGTCAGCTTTCCTGCTCCTCTGATGCTGCTTGACCTGCTGTGTTCATCCAGCTCTACACCGTGTTATCTCTAATATTCTGGGTACCTGGGTTCGCATCCCACCGTGGCAGATGCTGGAATTTAATTTCACATTTTTTAAAAATTGAATTCAAGAGTCTAATGATGACTATGAATCATTGTTGATGGTTAGGGAAATACATCTGATTCACTAATATCCTTCAGGGAAGGAAACCACCATCCTTACTTGGTCTAGCCTACATGTGACTCCAGACTCACAACAATGTGGTTGACTCTTAACTGCCCTCTGGGCAATTAGAGATGGGCGAAAAAAGCTGGCCTAGCCAGTGACACCCTCAAGCTGTGAATGAATAAAAAAAGAACTGGCATTTATCTATCATCTTTCATGTACTCGGGATGTTATTGTAAATTTAAATCTAGTGAAGTCAATAACTTATTATCAAGACAAACATAGCAGTTTGATGCTGGTTGAAACACTAGGTAAATGCCACGTTATGTCTCATGGTCAACATGTCAGTATACCTTTAAGAGATATGCTCATGACATCATCTCTGCATCATAACATGTGACCTAACAGTATAAAGATCTCATACTCCGTCTTACCCTGGATCACTTGAAGCATGACAAGCTCTGCTGTTGTAATGCTATAGCTTAATGTTAACCCAGACACTTGTGACTGAGGAATGTATGGTTTGTACATAACTGTTTGATTTGAAAATGTCTGTTGGATTCTTCAATATTATGATATCAATGTCCAGTTTCCCAATTTTTGCGAGATGCCGTAAACATTGCTGCATCAGGTAAAACACCCAACTGGAAACTCACACAATACCCACGATCTTTGAATAACTAGGGCCTCTGTTTAACATCTCATCAGCAACTTCGACAGTATAACTCTGCTGTCAGCACTGTACTTGAGTATTAGCCGAGACTATATCTCGATTCTGGTTAGGGTATTACCATTGAGTAGGTTAGAATGCTAGGATCTTTTAAAAGGCCTATTTAGAAAGAATTGGACACTTTAACTGCAGATGGTGATTAAAAATGTTAACAGCATTTTTTAAAAGATTATATTGAGGATTAATGCACATGGAAAATTATTTGTCAGCTTTCCCAATGTCTGTGGGGTAAATATAAAGCAGCTGGCAAAAAGAAAATGGGAATAACAAAATAAGTGAGGAGGAAATCAAATCTTTGCACAAGCTTACAACTGAAACCACTGGCACCCTCAACATCCTAGAGGATCATACAGAATAACACATCATACACTTTAGCACTGGGTCTCATTAACCCATGGGCTTACAGAGACTGCGTCTCAAGAACCCATTCAAATATGGGCCACCTGCCAGTTTCGTGGCTATGGGAAGTGGTAAACAAGCCTTGTTCAACTGAGTTTAGCACAATATTCTGCCACAGCTTAGCTATAGAATGCATGATCCATTCTTGATACAAAAGGACCGGTTACAAGTTGAGCTCATGTCTGTTACCATGGATGCTTCAAATTATTTGACAAGTTGGCACATATTACCAGATGTGACAGAAATAGAGTCTGTTCTGAACATCTATGTGTGTGTATTATATATATATATTTTATGTTTATGGGACGCACACGCACACACAAAATCTCGGGCCTGACTAAGCCCAAGTTTTTTGGAAAATTTCTCACCGCAAGGCCGAACAAGATTCCTCGCTGTATCTACAAAACACACTTCATTAACTACCTCTCCGGCCCTTATGTCTGATTTTTGCCCCATCTTAATTCCACATGCTATTCCCAGAACAACCCAACACTCACCAAACATCTGCTGAAAGTCAAGCAATCCCTGCACTTGCACCATATTTAAAAGGATTCTGTATAATCTGGAATTCTGAAGCTGCCCTTCTAGGTCAAGGACAGAGTTGGAAGATATCGGCGAAGGGAAGGATGGCACCGCGATTCACCATTCGAACTGGAGATTTTGATCAACAGGGATGGTGTAAACGAGAAGAAGGAGTCCTCTTTCCAGGACAAGCAGTAGAGGGGGTGACACCAGATCCTGTCAGCTTGGTTTGAGGTCACCTCCCAGATTAATGCAGTGTCCGCTGTTCAGAGAAACAGCCAGCTGTGCCATCAGAAATTCAATGAAGGTCTCTGCCCTGGCAGGGTAAGTGCCACACTGTTCTCTCTGCTAAAGCACAACCATTCTTTCTGCTACTACATTCACCTCCCTCCAAGGTTCATGCTCTGCCACTCTCATTGTTGCCTTCAACATCTTCCCTCACTTGCTTTCATTTCCCCTTGCAATTTTCCAGCCCACTAACTCTGGCACGGTCACTGCATTCATTCCCACTCCCTTGGGACACCTCACCACTTTTTGACCATCTGTGTTTCTTAGGTGTTTTGAAACAAAAATGTTTCACTAAAAAAGGAAAAATTGAACAGTTATGATAAAAATGAGTTTTGTGGTTGCCAAACTTTGTTTCAACAAAAGCATTTAGCTCAGAAAGATCTTACCTTAGACTCAATTCTATGTTCAATGAGCTGATCTCAGCATTGATGCTCATACAAGATTGTCATCCACACTGCAATGTTCAGGTTATCCATGAAATAACCGGACAGCTACAGAACTGTGCTCATACTTTCTCTTCTCATTAAGTAGACCTCACTTGCAAACATAGCATCTTGCATTTTGCAATAATTTAGATTCTAGGTTTTTGCATGTGGAGAACTCACGGTCTCAAATGTAACATTCTGTCTATCTGAATGGATAAAATAATTACAGTCATTTGCACATCTTCCAATTTACAGAAAGATAACGGAGGCACCGATCTTTAAGCTTAGAGTAAATTGCCACCCAAATAATAATTCTCATTGCAGTTCATTTTCTTGGTTACTGTATCATTTGTGTTCTCTTACCTTACAATCACACCCCATTTGATATCTCTGATTCAAGCTTTTCTTCTGTGTGGGAGTCAGCATGTCCCATTGCTTAATAAAATCACAGAGTGTAATTAACATAGTTCCATCTTCGCCCAGTTTACCTGTGGACATGCAGAAATAAAAGCCATTATCTTCATTGTTTTATGGTTTGTACAAAAATTGTAAGAAGAAACATTTTAAGCCCTGTCATGAATGCTTTACATTTACTAATTTGAGAATTTGAGTTTGAAGGAATGTGGATACCTGGATGGATTTTCTAAAAAAGCTATATGAAAGTACATTAAGACAGTTATTTTAAAAAGGCATGTCTTGACAGTCAAATGTCTTGTGATAACCACATGTTTATTGGAAATCACTTGTCTGGATTTATAACCATCTGGTTTCTGTTTCAGATATTATTTGGAATAGCTGACAAGAAACCTGCTCTTAAAAAAAAGTCCCAGCTCAGCTTTGTTGCTTCTGGAGAACAGGCCTTATTGTGTGTTGGGACCCCAGTCTAGCTGGAGAGAAGACTCTGAAAAATGTTGACCATATTTCCTGAAAGACTGCACCTACGGAAGTCCCAGTGACAGCTGTCTGTGTTGAGCACCATTTGTCTTTGTGCATCACAAATCAGACCAACAGCCATCTGAACATCCCAGACAGAGGAACCAGGAATAGGAGTAGGTGATTTAGTCATAGTAGAGGATGATAGAGTGCATGCAGGGCTTTTTAAAACATTTTTGCATAGCAACATGTGTGTAGATTACACAGAACATTGCAGGATCCCCAGATCCCTCTTTGCAAGCTCTTACTATTTAGACAATTGAATTATATTTTATTATTCCAGTCAAAATAGACAATTTCACATTTTTCCATATTATACTCTATTTGCCAGAGCTTTGCCCACTCAATCGCTATACCCCTTTGAACCGTCCATACGTACTCTCCACAACTTACTTTCCCACTTATCATTATGTCATCAACAAATTTGGAAACCACATCTTCTGTCCTTCATCCATGTCATTTATGGACTTATAAAATGTTGGACACTACTAGTTAGTCTTTTTAACCTGAAAAAGACCCATTTATGCCTACTCTTTGCTTCCTGTTAGTCAATCTTTTATCCACTCCAACATGCTAACCCCTACAATATGAGCTTCGTTTTCCCATAATGATCTGATGAAACACTTTATCAAATGCCTTCTGGAAACCTAAATATACTGCAGACATCCATTTCCCTTTAGTCACAACACGTTATTTCCTCAAGCTCTTTTAATAGTGCGGTCAAACACGATTTCATGGTTATACCTTGAACTTTTCAAAGTACCCTGCTTTAATGTCTTTACCCTTAGCTTCTAACATTTTTCCAACTGAGAGCTATTAAGGTAACTGAGGTGTTTTTGGTTTTCTGTCTTCCTACATTTTTGAAAATCGATTTGCTACCTTCCAATCTAATAGGACCTTCCCAGAACCGAGGGAGTTTTGGAAAATTAAAGCCAGTGCATCAATTATCTCACTTGCCACTTGTGTTAACACCTGAGGATGAAAACCACCAGGTCCCAGACACATCTCAACCCATATCTCCAGCAATTTACTCATTGCCACTTCCATGATGAGTGTAAATTTTCCTGAGTTCCTCCCTCTTTCATTTGCTGATTTGTAGTTTCTTGCTAGTCACCGCTGCAGTGAAGATGGATGCTAAATCTTTTGGTTTTAAAATATTTAGAGAAACTCAAACTCTGTTTGCCAAGAGTATGAAAACAATCATTTTTGCATTCAAGAACTGAAAACTGTTGGCCAGAAGTGATTTTTTTTTGTAAAGTTAATCCTGCAGAGGTGATACAGCAAATCAGAGAGACATCCGTTCAGCAAGAATTCAAGGATTCCACAAATTTTGCTATTTTGATGATAGAAGACATCACGTAAACAGCAGTGGTCTCAGGTTCAAATAGAATAACTCCAGCATTCTTTTTAAAAGAACATTTTAAACGGCAAATTCTTTACTTTCCTATTGTACTAGACCATCCCCCTTCTTTCAAACTTAATTGACATCCAATGTGAACACCACATTTTAATATTGGACCTTGGGGCTAATAAGGAATAAAATTCTTCTGTCTTTCACACTAGAAAACCTTGCAATTGTATCCTGAATTTTAATTAGTTCTGCATGTTTTTCAAATGTTAAAAAGAAATACAAATCTTTGTCATGACTGACTGAGCATGTTAAATCCAGGGGAGGTGACTGACCCCTTATTTGGTCATAAAGATGCCAGAAGTCTCTATGACAGTTCAGAACCTTATTTACAGGCCATGGCCAGAAATAGTCACAACAACTGGATTCCAGGGACAAGGAGGGTGTGACTGCAAGGAGACAGCATTGACAAAGCATTTTTTGACTGAGTGTGGCACCAAGGATTGCCAAAACCAAAAACTTAGATAGATAAGGATCTGGAAAAAACATGGAAGAGAGGATGATAGTTACTGGAGGTCAAACATCTCAGCCCCAAGACAGTGACCTGAGGAACTCTTCTAGAATGTCCTAGCTTTGTTAAACTATTTCAATTCCCCTCCCTCAATATAATAGTGTGTTAGATTCAGGAGCAATTGAGAGATTCAAAAGGGGAATTAGATTGTTTTCTGAAAAGGAGCAATGTTCAGTAAAAGGGGGGAGAAGGTGGTAGAATGGCACTAATTGATTTCCTCATTCAGAGAGCTGCTCCTGAAAAGATGGGCAAAATGTTCTCTGTAATTAAATAAAATGGAATTATTCTGTAATTCTGTGAAGTACTTTACACCACTGCATGTGGGCTAACAGGAGTTGTGATGTTTTCCCCAGGCTCAACATAATCCATCCCCTCAGTGATCTGCCTGTTTTTCATGGAGCCACCATTGGACCTCCCCATCCCTTTGTGATTTGAAGTCTCCCTAATCTCCTTCATTATCCCAATACGCCTCTCAGCTTGAGTAGGTTTGACCCATGAAGCAGCCAACGTGCCCTGAAGACCCCTATCAACCAAGCTACCTGTGACTGGAAATAATTCTTAAAAAGGAATCCCGTACTTCAGTTCTGCAGAACATTTGGGACATCCATTTTTCCAGTCTCCTAATTTCACAACAATGCCCTCCAGCCTACCCAGAACAGAACTTATTTCCAGGTGAATTACTTTGTAATTACGAATATATTGTCTATTTCATACTGCTTTAATTTGAATTAGTGAAACTTACATTTGTTATCTTGTTAAAAGTAACAGTAGATGACATTTTCTGGAACAAATTAACCGCTCTGTAATTGTTGTTCCTCTTGACCTTGTCTACATCCCACATTTGTAAAGATTACATATTTGATTTGTTTCGGTCATTCAAGGCATGATGTGCTAACAGTATAAAAATGTTCCTCTCCAGAGAATTTTGTTTCTGTATATCGTTGTCTGATCTAAAAATAGTCAATTGCACTGTTTTACAGAACATGTACGAGGTTAGGCCATCTCACTAATTTGAACATTTTTAATCAAATATTACATTCCAAAACTGATTTTTTTTTGAAAGCACGGTGTTTATACTATCTTTTAACATTGCCTTACCATTTTTCAATGCATTCTCAACGTCAATTCCTAACTCTACTCCACTGAAGTTTTAAGGAGGCAACAGCTCACCAAGTTTTTGTTAAAGCAGTCCTCTGCTGATTTGGAAGAGCTGGGTTAGAACTGGACAATTTGCCAATTTTTTTTTCTCCCTCATTACTAGGTATCCATTTGATAATGAGGTTATCAACGATTATGTTTTGGGACTGTTTGTAAATTTACAGTAAAATGCAGGAAAGAAGAGGGTCATGTAATCTGTTCCAAATAGTTACAGAGACCAAACCATCTGGCCTCTACGTCAAAGATAATATGGGGACCAAGCTGTTTTACTGGCAAGGTGATGCAAGATGTTCACACATGTAAACAATGGCAGGAGCATCTGTTCTGGCATTGGACAGATTCTAAGTCTTCAAAGTCTCAGGAAGGTGTAAAGGATGTCAGGTTTAGTAAATTATTATTCTTTAACTGTTCATTTCAAGAAGAATTAGATTCGGAGTATAAAGGATAGTTAATCATACTAGTCCATGTGATTCACATTCCTGTGGGAATAGGTTTTGAAACAAGGGATGCATTGGAAGCCATCCATTAAAGGGCAGGCATGGGAATCTGCCAGGTTTCAAAACAATGTAAAAGAGTTAGACTGCAGACAGACACAGCAGGTTCATATATTTCACTGTCCAAGAGTTCAAGACTAGAAGATTTATCTGGCTTGAACTAGAGGGACAAACTCCAGAAAAACCCTCACTGTGAGAAATAGTTCTAGGATTAAACATTACCAAGTTGGGAAAGGAAAATAATGCAAGCATCCCCTTCAAGAGCTAAGAGCAACTTTGGACTGAATCCGGGGAGTTTTAATATCTATTTAAGGAACACGAGTAAAATATAACTGTGGAAGGTGATTTTTGGTCATTTTACATCATTAAGTGTTAAATGGAGGATCTTCTCTGTGGTTTAAAGCATAAATTGCCTTCTGAAATAGCATTTAGTCCCTGGTGCTTTTAGTTTGTTTACTACAGTAAAGGTCCTAAAACTTAATCTTGACATGTGATCCTTTAAGTTGATCACTGGGAATTCAATTTTTTTAAAAAAGTTATTCATATTAATCTTTAAGATGATCATAACATCTACATTCCACTTTCCACCTTGCACCGTCAAGGCCAGAAAGCTGACAATTAGATAAACTGAAAAGTTTAATTCAACCTACTTTCTTGGAGGCTTTTTACTCAAGTACTGTTGCAGAATTTTCAAAATGAGGAGGTGTACACTCTACCTGTAATTAGGTATTCTTTTTTCCCACTTGTTTCAAGCATGACTCCACATACCGCTGAAGAAGTGGCAGTGAAAATATATTCAATGTTGTGCTCTGGTCCTTTAAACATCTGGAAACAATGGAAGTTGCCTGTTAAAATCAATGTAACTCAAAAAATACTAAGAGGACAAAAAATTGTTATGACGTAGGCAATTACTTGGATGCAGGGATCAGCTGTTTTCCATTTAAAAAGTCATGAATTTTGATATTCTATTGGCCATGGCTTCTAAAACAAGAAGTAGAAAATTACAGATGCTGGTAAACTGAAATAAAAACCATTGCGAGTACTCAGGAGGTCAGGTAGCATTTTGGAGAGAGAAACAGTTAGAAGTTTGTCTTAAAACATTAACTTAGCTTTCCTCCTCAAACTGAAAACAACAAATGCTGGAGATCACAGCAGGTCAAGCAGCATTCACACAGACAGCAAGTTTAACGTTTCGAGTATAGACGACTCTTCATCAGAGCTGACATGAAGCGTGGAGGGGCAGCATTTATGCTATAGTTGGTGGGATGTGGAGTGTAGAGTGCTGGGGGAGAAAGAATGTAGATGGATCAGATTTAGTGATCAGAATGGGAGAATGGCAGAACAATGGTGTGTCTAACTGCCAGACCTGAAAGAACAGACGGTCCCACTAGGGTGGGGGGAGAAAGACAGAGGTGACAGAGAATGTAACAAGCTTAAAGAAAGGGAAGGAATGGGAGTTGAATCACAGTTTGAGCATGTTGAAGTCAGTATTAAGTCCAGAAGGCTGTAAAGTGCTTAGTCTGAAGAGGAGATGTCGTTCCTCCGGTTTCACTGGAACACTGCAGCATGCTGAGGACAGGACACTATATTAAAATGACCGGCTACAGGAAGGGCGGGGTTATGCTTGTGCACAGACCAGAGTTGTTCTGCAAAGCAGTCTGCGTTTGGTTTCTCTAATGTAGAGAAGGCCATATTGGGTGCACAGAATACAATACACAAGATTGGAGGAGGTACAAGTAAAATGCTGCTTCACTTGGAAAGATTGTTTAGGCCCTTAAATGGTGAGCAAGGTGGAGGTGAAGGGGCAGATGTTGCACCTTCTGTGGTTATATGGGAAGGTGCCACGGGCAGGGGGAGTGGTGTTACTGACTGAAGAAAGGACTAGGATGTCCCAGAGGGAACGATCCCTGTGAAATGCAGGGAGAGTGAGGCGAAGACGTATCTGGTGGTGGCGTTCTGCTGGAGTTGGCTGAAATGGCGCAGCATGATCCTTTAAGGCTGGTGGGATGAAAAGTGAGGACTAGTGGGACCCAACCATGATGTTACGAGTGATGGGAAGGGGCAAGGGCAGAAGCACAGGTTATAAATTGGATGTGGTTCAGGGCCCTGTCAATCACAGTGGGCTGGAAACCATGGTCATGGAAGGAGGAAGCCAGGTCAGCAGCGCTGTTTTGAAAAGTGGCATCATCCGAACAGATATGACGTAGCTGAAAGAACAGAGAGAATGGGATGGAGTCCTTCTTGGACGTGGGGTGTGATAAGCTGTAGTGAAAGTAGCTTTGGAGTTAGTGGCTTTGTGGTGGATAGCAGTGGACAGTTTATTCCCCAAAATGGAGACAGAGAGGTCAAGAAAAGGAAAGGAAGGGAAGTGTCGGAAATGGACAATGTGAAAGTTAAAGTTATAGAGGGATAGAAATTAGAGGCAAAATGAACAAATTTTTCAAGGGTCTTGATGAGAGCATGAAGCGGCACCAAAACCGTCATTGATGTACCAAGAAAAGTTGTCGGTGGGGGCACAGGGTGGTGGGGGGGAAGGGGTGCAGAGTAGGATTGTCCCACATACCCCATAACTGGGACCTGTGTGGGTGCCTGTAGCCACTCCTTTAACTTAGCAGAAGTGAGATGAATTAAAGCAAAACTTGTCACAGGGGATACTGATTTCCTGTGCATAATCACATATCTCCACACCTACAGTGTACCTTCGAAGCACGTAGCAACATTATACAACCTTCAGTCCCCTTGTTCTGTCCCCTGCAAGGTGGGAATGTTGGTGAAGATACAGCTTCAGTCCGACTCATCTGTCAAATTTTCAGTAGTCAGAAGAGAAATCTGTGGCAGGGGATGCCACGGAGGAAGTGAACGACAGTTCTTCCTCAGTACACATAACTTAGAACAGTACAGCACAGTACAGGCCCTTCGGGCCATGATGTTGTGCCAAACTTTTACCCTAATCCTAAGGTCTATCTAACCTCCACCCCTATCTTATACTATGATCCATATGCCTATCTAATAGCCGCTTAAATACCCCTAATGAGGCCGACTCCATTACCCTCTCCGGCAATGCATTCCACACCCTGACCACTCTGAGTAAAGAACCTACCTCTGACGTCTCCCCTATAGCTACCTCCACTCACTTTAAAACTATGCCCCCTCATAATAGCTACCTCCACCCTAGGAAAATGTCTCTGGCTATCTACTCTATCTATACCTCTGATCATTTTGTACACCTCTATCAAGTCACCTCTTCTCCTTCGTCATTCTAAAGAGAAAAGCCCTAGCTCTCTCAGTAATATAGTTGGAAGTGCTGGTCTGGAGGAAAATGAGTAGTAAGCCATGGCACAGAGCCAACTATGGAGATAAGGCCATAAGCAAATCAGCCAAAAGTGCTGGAGGGGTCAGCTGGCCCAGTTATGCTCCTATTTTGAGTGTTTTTACACCTCATCGACCTTGTCTCCCAAACCTAATCGAATTTAATCGCTGTTGGAAGTTACTTCCTTTCTCCCCATCTAACAACCCAACAAGATTCAACCATGGGAATACACATCATTGTGTTGTACAATGTGAATCAAAACCTCTCCGCCAGTGTTCACCTTCATGAATTTCCAGAGCCTGTTCCTCCTCTTCTCAAATAGCACCAGCTCCTTATCTTCCTCCAGTGTGAAACGGTGGAGCACAGTACAGGACCATGATCCCCACGCATATATTGCAGCTCTCCATTGATTTCTCAGGTGCTGAAATACACTCTCGGACACTAGTTTGTCCTCTCCAAGTCAAGTCATGTTGTTGTATCAGCCTGAGTGTACGCATCCTTTGCTTGGGCTTGTCAGTGGAAACTTTGAACACGACTATATGCCCCTCCAGTTTGTTTTGGTGGAAGAGTTTACTTATTTGACTGCATGATTATTGGACTCCAGTGGATTGGGAATAGCTCTAATGATTGTTATTGGGCTGCAAGATACATATAATCACTCCCCAACAACCGTCGTTTTCTAAGAAGAAATGTGCAAATCTAAATTCCATTCAGAAATATTGTATCAATTTTGATTATAATCAGAATATTTATCATTTATCACCTCAAAAAATCCCATTTTTATTTCATTTACCACAAATACTGTTGTAGATATCTAGTTGATAATTCATACCCTTTAGAATATAACTTCTAAGTTGAAGTGTTAAATGGAAAATCCTGACAGAGAAACTGCTAATAATCCTGATGTGAATGCTGTTCACACAAGCAGGAAATTAACTTTGGCTTTAATTAAAGCCATTCTTTTGGATGTCTTGATAGAACCAGCCTTTCTATCATTATCTTCAATGAAGCTTAAAAACAAGAGGGTCATAAAATCCAATTAGAAATGGAAATTATTTATACAAGTTGCAGGACCAAACAGTTAATTTCAAGGTGAAGTAATTTGTTTTTATTTCTGGTGTAGACATTGCAAAGCATGGCACAATGCAATAGAGATAGTCATGCAAAATGCAGCCTTCATTAAAAGGTTTAATGTTTAATGTATCGATGTGCTTGCTGATAAAAACAGGTTAAGTTTGGGAACATACACAGATCAGATTGAAAGAATCAACAAGAGATGATAGTTTGTTGGGCCTGCATTTCAGCAGCGCAAACACGAGCTTCATCACGCAATACAGGGAACACTGAGTGGGGTATCATCTTAGTTTGGTTTTTGAAGGGAAAAATCAGCTGTAGTTTGCAATTGGTGGGAAAAATCTGAAATGGTCCTCAGCGCCTTGTGGCAGAAAACAGTTGGCATGTGTAGCTCAGGAGGCTGTGGGAAGGCAGCTTGATACCTGCCAGCAATCTGAGCAAGAAGTTCAGGCGCCCATGGTGTCAAAGTCTATCAAGAAAAAATGTGGGGGAAAAAAACCACACAGCCACAAAAAAAGGGAAGGACTCTCTTAGTATCTTACCAAGGAGCTACTGGAATACTAAGAAGAATTAAAATCAATACACAGAATCCCTACGATGTGGAATCAGGCCATTCGGCCCCTCAAGTCCACACCAACCCACCAAACAACATCCCACTTAGATCCAACCCCCTACCTCCCATGGCTAATCCACCTAGGCTGCACATCACTGGGCACTGGCCGTGCTAAATTGCCCGATCCACCTAACCTGCACATCTTTGTACCGTGGGAGGAAACTGGGGCACCCAGTGATAACTGACGCAGATAAGGGGAGAATGTGCAAACTCCACACAGTTGCCCGAGGGTGGACTCGAACCCAGATCCCTGGTGGTGTGAGGCAGCAGTGCTAACCACTGAGCCATTCTTAAAGACCTTTTGGAGTTGGTCCCAGGAAAAATGACTGCACCTTCAAAACATTCCCACGGGAAGGACAGGTGGGTGATCTTTACCACTAGCTGATATAGGTAGCTAGGCTACACTAAACACACGCACATACACATACTACACACACGAAAATATGATTTCTTGTGTAGTTCTTTTAGCTAATTGCTGGGTGTTTGCATTTCTTCTTTAATCTGTCAACAATCCCCACAGATTGATTGCAACTGTACCTTTATCTGTTTGATCTCATACTGGAGTTTCTGGATGGGATTTCCATAGATGTCATTCCCAGAAATCACTGCTTTACTTGCAACCACTTTCGCCCTTATCACTGAAGGAAAAAGGAGAGAAAAAAATGAAATGAATCATTTCCAGTAAAACAAAAAGTAGGAATGTAATTCAACAACCAGGGAGTCTGATGCAATAGTTTTCCACTTCAGTGATCAAACAGAATTTTTGAAAAGGCTTAAGGAAATAAGCTTCCCCTGAAATTAAGAAACAGCAGTTTTATAAAATATGAATGGATCCCCTGCAGCAATGTTCAGTGCAAGTCTGTTTCTAAGGACAGAAGAGTTATACCTGCGACCCATGACATATTTTAAAAAATCTGGGCCTGGATTATCATTTAGCCATTGCTATATTGGTATGAAAAAGGTATGGAGACCAGAATGCAGATGTCCTGCCCCTGAACATGGCACCCACCCTATTCACAAAGGGGTGCGGGGTAAATGGTGTGTTATAAGATCAACATCCGTCATTCAGAGGCAAGTGTACATGTTAAAATCCTGCTGCCTCAGGCTGATCTGGTTTCTCACTTATGGGTTGTTGAGAATACAATCTGTGCACTTTAGACCCGACGAGAGTTGCTGTAAAGTCTCCAGAGTTCTTTAGAGGTATAGGGTCCCCTTACGGAGAGGGCAAGAACCCGTTTTGGATAGGTCCTGGCACATCTTGAGTTAAGACGCTCTCAGAAAGATGAAGTACTCTTAGGGACTGTTAAATATAGATGTACACATGCACTCAAAATCCATAAACTCATTGGAACTGCCAAGATAACTATCAAGACAGTTCAAGACAAGTTGATCTCCTGTTTTTTAAAAACTTGATGAAATAAGTTTGCAGTATTAAAAAAAAGTGTTTGCCATTTGTCTGCTGACATAAGTCAGAGGGCTACCATTATAGGATTTGTGCTGCATAACCAGTGTTACACCCTTTCATTATCACAGTGGGGTGCCAGTCATTTCATAGCTTGACTGGCAACTCCATGAGACAGCTCCAAACCAGAGGCAGAAGCTCTCTACTGCAGGTAGCACCACTGTCTGCAATGCATGAAGGCCCAGCTCAAGACTGATGCTGGATCCCAGGACACAGGTGAACGAGAATGGAATGGGGGTCACCGACAATGTGGCAGGGCTAGGTGGAGTCAGCAGAAACAAGGGCAGCTCTCAGTGAGATCTCTCTTTGAAATTTTGTGCCCAACTTGAAGGACCCAAAGAGCCTGCAAACAAGGTAAACCCTTCCACCAAACGGCCCCAATAAAACAAATTACAAAAAGCCAGCAGTCTTCAGGAGGCATGAAAATGATGTGCAATTTCAGGAGAATACCCGAGCCACCAATAAAGCCAATTACCTGTAAGATCACTGAAATTTATGTGGATAATTAATGAGATTAATTCCCTTTCCATCATAACAGGTCACATATTCCTGCGTCAGGCCCTTTCCGCCCATAAATTTGATTGAGGAGAATTTTCCTGGCTTCTGGAATCTGATGCAAGTATTCCTGCACAATTCTGAACCCCAGCACGGGTACCATTCCTGCTTCGTGGGCTCCACAAAATCTGGCATCAGGATCCCATGCCATCCTTGTTTGCGATTAGATTCGAGGACTCGCACACTTCCATATTGACACTGGAAGACAGGCTATTGACTGACGTTTAGTACAGGTACATTAAATATATCCCCATTACATTTTAAATTCTTCCAAAATTTAAAAAATGCTGATTAAGAAAAAAAATCAAACCTCTAGACTACCCAAGAAAAGTTGTGTTCTTTTTCAACAAATGCATGAAGTGGATTGGTTGTAAATATCAGCCAACAGGCAGGATTTCTACCCACAAGCAAACATGTCCTTGAACTACATAACAGCAAATGCCTTGTAAAAACAAGGAAACAAAAAAAAGCGAAGAATTATGAGGAGAGCCGCTCTTGTAAATATCTCACTCCCAGTATGCTATTTGTTGAAGAAGATTTTCAAAATGGATTTTTAAAAATCCCTGTGTAGAGGAATATGGTTTCCAAGATAAGCAGGAAGTGAAAAAAAAGGTTCAATTTACTCAGCCTCTCATTTCCACTTGAAGGGTTCAACTTGGGAATGACCTTCAGGATTTTAAGACATATCCACGCGTATAAGGTTACGCATTGATGTGCATGGTGCATTTTCTGAGAGTTGTGGCACTGGTGAGTGCATGGACTTCTTTCGGTGGAACCGCTGCTTAGAGCTTGTGTAGCTGATACTGTTTTGAAAATTGTGTAGATGCTGCAATCATGACAGTATGCCTTCAACATGGGCACACTACAACACTGCAAACATGAAACAAGAATGCAATGCCAATAGTTCTCCACTATTCATCTATTTTCAATGAGTTCCACTTTTATTTATGCAGCCAATGTCTAATTCAGATCCAAGGAGCTAGAAAGTCCCTTTTGTGAGTAGCTAAACTGGCAGACAGAAATATCTATTAAAAAAACTCTTCCAATGACCACATCAAGTCTGAATGGAAAACAGGAGATAAGATTGTTTTTAAAAATCAACTTGTTGAGGGATATTATTACGCATCTCTATAGCAGGTGGGATGCAAACCTGGCTTTCTCCACAGGACGTAGGGACGCTACTGCTACACCACAAGAGGCTTCTTTTCTTCAGTAGCCTTCAAGTAACTCCATGGAGGCCGATATCCTGTCACCAAGTCACTCTTCATTTACACATGCACTGTACATAGGCTCTTTTGGTGTAGTCATTCTTTGTCAAAGTATTCAGGTGTTTTATGATTTACGTCTGGAGCAGGCAGGACTTGAACCCATATCTCCTGGCCCAGAGGTAGAAACAATACCACTGTGCCACAAGATCCCTGAAACGGGGAGCTTAAATAGAACAATTGCTATAGTTCTAACGGGTGAAATATTTTACACAGCACCAAAAGGATTTTCACAATTTCGTTTAGTTATTCCACAGATCACTGTTCTGCTGGTGAGCCATGACATCTTGATGCCATAAAATCTACTTGACTAAGGCTTAAGTTTTAACTAGAACATGATTGCTTTCGCTGATCAGTCACCTCTGAAACATGGCCTGCTGCTTATAGTTGTTGACATTCTTACCAGTAAGAAAACGCTTATTTGCAGTTTTCAATGCATCACGTACATTTAATCACAGTTCACAAACATTCCTAACTGGTCACACCCAAAACAGATTAATCCTTTTAATTTCAGTTTCTAATTGCTCCTGATTTATTATTTTGTTAAGTGTAGTTTTTCTTCATGCTCTTCAGATGAGTCATTTGACTTTTAAGATTTTGCTCATCAGATTATCAGATCAAATCTCTCAGTCCTGAATATACTTAATGATAAAGCATCGACAATCCACGAGGTTAGAGAATTCCACAGATTCATAGCCATCTGAGCAAAAAAAAAAAAATCCTTCTGCCTCAATCCCAAATGATCAGTTTCTTACCTTGAAACTGAGTCCCCAGTGAAACATCTATGACTATCCTCAAGCCCCTTCAAACTTTTGTAAGTTTCAACAAGATTACTTTTCATTCTTAGCAACTTCACAGAGTGCAGGTTGGATTTACTCAGAGTCTCACCATAGCATAAATGTGTCACCATATCTTAGGAACCTGTCTAGTGAATATTTGATACTTGGCCCCCAGGGCACTTAATCAGATTTGTCAGTGTCATCATCTTTCTAGAAGCCTGAGTGCCATCAACATTCACTTCTCTGTTCTGTAGTACCCTTAAATATGCCACTACATCACCATAAATGCTCGCCAGAAGGTCTTGTGATGCCGTGGTAGTGACCTGACATCTTGACTAGAAGTCCCAGATTCAAGTCCCCACCAGACCTCGAGAAGTATTGTAACATGCCTGAATACTTCCCCATTGGTTACAAAGCATGTAAATGTTGGCCAGTAGTAATGCCCACATTTGTAACAAATTACAAAAACCTGATCCAGTCCATTATACCTGCTATCCATTTTCTCCTTTATTCCCATCTGTAGTTAGCATGGATCTTCCCTGTAATAACTGTCTCTATCATTTGCTCGAGTGATGTGACCAATGTGTTGTCTTTTTCACTCTTTGGTGTTATGTACTAATTCATCCTTTCTGCAGCCAATTCTTTGGTTACCAGTCAAGTATAGCCTTCTTGAAATCCAGAGACCAAAATGGAGCACAGCACTCAAGGTGTGGTCACAGCAAAGCCTTATTCCCACTAAAGACTCTTGTTCTCGTGCACCAACACCTTTCTAATATGCCTGCCTAATTTCTTGCTGAACTAGGATGCATGCTTTCAGTGTTACTTTTACAGGTGCAGCCAAATTTCTATGAGCTTTTTAAAGTGCACTTCTTTCATCAGATTGCAGTTTTCTTTTTCTCTGCTTTCTTGAACAGCAGTGTTTGTTAACTTCCAATCCACTTGAAGCATTATAGAATGTTGCGAATTTTGGAAATTCATAATTCATTCATTAATTATTTGCTCAGCTCCCTCTTCTGGAGCCCTAGGATGTGAGGCAGCAGGTTCTGGTTTAGGTTTTTCTAACAATTTTGCCCAGCTGATATGAATAAGTTCCAGTGTCTCACTGTTATTAGTCCCTTGCTTATCCTTTATTTCTTTTACATACGTGTCTTCTATTGTGAAGGCAGGCAAAATATTTGTTCAACTCCATCGCCATTTTTCCATTTACTATGATAATTTACCTGGTCTGAGGGACCAGTGTTTATGTTAGCTACTCTCTACCTATCTTTATATACTGTAGAAACTCTTAGAATTATGCTCATATTTCATTTTTCCTTCTTAATAACTGCTTGGTCACCTGCCAGTTTCTAAAATTCTGCCAAATCTCGGCTTACTACTATTCTTCCAACATTATAAATTTTAGCCTTTAAAACTAACCTCCCGAGTAAGCCATGGATGGATACTTCCTAATAAATTTTTCACTTTTTAAAATGGAACATTTTCAATCAGTTCCTATAGTGTTTCCCAGGCTTTGCTCAAGTTTAAAATTCTTGAGCTGGACTCTGTTGCTCTCAACAAGAAACTCAATTATAATATTA